ATTTTCCTTAAAAAGTTAAGTAATAGGGTGTAGGGGTGGAGGATTTTCCTTAAAAAGTTAAGTAATAGGGTGTAGGGGTGGAGGATTTTCCTTAAAAAGTTAAGTAATAGGGTGTAGGGGTTGAAAATTTTCCTTAAAAAGTTAAGTAATAGGGTAGGGGTGGAGAGTTTTCCTTACAAAGTTAAGTAATAGGGTTTAGGGGTGGAGGATTTTTCTTAAAAAGTTAAGTAATAGGGTGCAGGGGTGGAGGATTTTCCTTAAAAAGTTGAGTAATAGGGTGTAGGGGTGGAGAATTTCCTTAAAAAGTTATGTAATAGGGTGTAGAGGTGGAGGATTTTCCTTAAAAAGTTAAGTAATAGGATGTAGGGGTGGAGGACTTTCCTTAAAAAGTTAAGTAATAGGGTAGGGGTGAAGGATTTTCCGTCACTGTTGCAAAAATTCCTCTAATTAAAGGAGACTATACCCTTTCTCGGAAATTAGGTATTGGTGGATTGCGAACACACGAATAAGGATTTTCCTTAAAAAGTTAAGTAATAGGGTAGGGGTGGAGGATTTTCCTTAAAAAGTTAAGTAATAGGGTAAGGGTGGAGGATTTTCCTTAAAAAGTTAAGTAATAGGGTAGGGGTAGATGATTTTCGTTTAAAAGTCAAGTAATGGGTAGGGGTGGATGATTTTCGTTAAAAAGTTAAGTAATAAGGTGTAGGGGTGGAGGATTTTCCTTAAAAAGTTAAGTAATAGGGTGTAGGGGTGGAGAGTTTTCCTTAAAAAGTTAAGTAATAGGGTAGGGGTGGAGAGTTTTCCTTACAAAGTTAAGTAATAGGGTGTAGGGGTGGAGGATTTTCCTTAAAAAGTTAAGTAATAGGGTGCAGGGGTGGAGGATTTTCCCTTATAAGTTAAGTAATAGGGTGTAGGGGTGGAGAATTTTCCTTAAAAAGTTAAGTATTAGGGTAGGGGTGGAGGATTTTACTTAAAAAGTTAAGTAATAGGGTGTAGGGGTAGAGGATTTTCCTTAAAAAGCTAAGTAATAGGGTAGGGGTGGAGGATTTTCCGTCACTGTTGCAACAATTCCTCTAATTAGAGGAGACTATACCCTTTCTCGTAAATTAGGTATTGGTGGATTGCGAACACACGATGTGAAGCAAATTTGAAACAGAAATGTAAACGTCATATTGTATGACTTTGATATTTCAGAGATCGAAAAATTGTTCACGTTATGTTTTGAATAACTTTTACCGTTATTCTGTCTATTGAAATAGTACTGAGAATAATTAAGAAGAGCTTAGCGATACAGCAAGAAAACTCTTTTGTAATCTTATGGTTCCTTAAAGAATAAAGGGTCTATAACTAAAGGAAAATGTATCAAATTGTCTCTTTTTTTCGTGAAATGTTCTAAATCTCACTTTCTGAGATCCAAATGGATGCATAATTTCTGCTGTTGGATAGTACCTAAGCAGCTTCAAAGTTTCTTTAGTTCTGCCTTCTACTATAAAAGCTGAGCGCTACTGAAACGCATATGATTCAGGGGTTACCTTTTGAAGTGAAGGCAACATATTTGCTGTGATGACTGTAGCTGAGCAGTTTTAAAAACTTGTGAGCCTAGGCTACAGCTATCCGAGGCTCTTGCTATTGGTCTGTGAAAAAGAGTCAAAAACGGGAACGCAAAAGCGGCATATATGTCACGTTGGAAAAAAAATATACTTGTAGTAAGAGAAAACATTCCAGAACTGTTCAGCTGAACTTAATGCTATCTTTAAAAATCTTTGTTTCTTCGGTAACATGGGAAATATTTTTAGTATAGACGCTTATAGATACAACAAACAGTCCAAAAGTTCGTACTTTCCCTAGCCTTACGTACCTCACAAAACACTAGAGATGCTGCTAAACTGCTGAACATTCCAAAGACAATCTTCGCGTCCAATTCCTTTGTAAGCAAATTAATACACGTAATGTTAAGCATTCGTTATAGAAATTTTAGCGATGAATTTTGGAGTGCGTTGAGATACCGATAAATGATAGCGATTACCTTCAGTTTCAGAAGCTTTTTCCTGATATACGCCTGAATTTCTGTGAGAAATGCTGTATGATATGTATTAATTGCAGCTTCCGATACAATTATATTGAAGTCAGCTTGACTTGCAAGTCTGTTCACCACCTGAGATTCAATGCAATGAATTATAAGCAGCTTTTAAAATAGAGAGGTGTACGTTTCCAAGTAGTTGCGCTTAAATGGATCATATACTCATTTAGTGCAATTCCAGCTCTTCTTGGCTTCTTTTGAAATGGAAACCTTAACTGAGCTTGATAAGTATATCTTTATGATATTTCTAGTTGCTAGCAATGAATGGGGTTGAGTTTAGTACCAGTATCATTAAGACTTTAGCATTTTCAAGAGTTTGGCAAAATTTTCTTTGGATTAAAGGGAAAAAAGAGAGCCAAGAATTATTCCTCTCGGAGAAACCCATAACTAGCTTTAGTTACGGTCCACCGAGTCCTTTTGCTCGCGCACGATTGGTCTAAACGTTTCACTTGACCGAATACGCCCCAGCTAAAACTGGGGGAATATTTAAGGAAACTTTACGTCCTCTACGATAAGTCTTCCTTTAAAGTTTAACTAGAGATAATAATGCATTTTGTGAATGTTACAAAACGAGAGACATGTTTGTTCGTTCATAAATCCCGCCAGGCAACCCTGAAAAATTGACGACTCTCGCAGTGAAGGGTAAGCTGTTGCTAAACATTTTTCCCCGCCATCCGAAAGTACTTGAAAAATAATGAAAATAATGGCCTCAATTTGGCGCGAATTTCTCCGCGGACATTATGTTCCTTGATACTCACAGCTTCCTTCGAGCTTCGCTCTTAGAAGACTGTTCGCTCCTCGTAACAAATAATGCCCGCGAACAAATATAGGTGCCTATTTCAGCAAAACGTGGAGGCTATCACTTCTATGTACAAGTCATGGAATTCTAGCTTACATCCACATAAAAACCTCCTTCATCTATGAAATCGTACAACACCGCGGCTCTCTTCCAACTGAAATGCTTCATAATTCCCTTGTACGCTTTATTATAGATGAAAGCAGTTGGTGCGAAGGTTAAACCGAAGGGATCTTCGAGTTCCCTCACTTTAGACGTTGTTGTCAAATATGAAACCTAAAAATCAAATAACATCCCGTCGGCGAGGAAAGAAAGATTCATGAGCTATCAATTAACCAACAGCTAGCGAAAATATGAGCCTGAAGCTTACCAACGAAAAAGGAACTAGCAAAGCAATAAGTCTGCCACCTGAGCTGAGAATCGGCCTACTACAGTAACCACCCAGTCAACTGTATCAACAATCAAAATGCCTCGCTTCCAGGCCAATAGAAAAAATCTTTTAGATAAGCAAACTAGTCCACTAATCAACCACTGAGCCACCAACTAAACACAGCTTTACTACCAAGCCGACAGACAAAAGCAATGAAGCAAGCAAGGAAGCCCTCCCACCGAAAAAAAATTCAACCAGGTCATCAAGACACCTATCGACCATTCTATCAACCAACCAAGAAACAAACTAGCCATGTCAGTCCACCCACCGAAAAAAAAAAAACAAAAAAACAAAACAAAAAATCAGCTTGCCTGCTACTTATCATCAATTAACCAATCAATTAATTCAACAAATGATCGGCCAAAGTTGCCAAACTCAAACGACCTCCCGTCCCTAGAAAAAAAACGGCCAAGCTTCCATCAAACAAACAGATCATCTAACAAACAAACACGATGACCTATACTCAAACAAACAGCCAATAAAGTTACAGTTACAGACCAAACCACTCCAAAACCAGCTAAGTAAGTGAAATATCTACCAACCAATCCTTGTCAAACACACCAAACATTTTATCCACCGAACTGAGCTCCAACGAAGAAACTAATCTAACCAACTGACCATCTAAAACACCTTTAATCAAACAAGAGATCAACACACCAAGAAACCAAGAAGCAATAAGCCAACCAAAATACGATCGAAACAACTGCCAAATCGACCCAAGAAACTAAATGATATACGAAAACATCAGCTAAAAATTAAAATAGCAACGACAGCCTTGAGTCAACCAAGAATTCCTATCTACACCCTGCTAACCAAAAGTTCGTTATCCAACCAAAGAATTAATCATATAGGCCAACTAATCTTGTCACCAAGCTTATAGAAACAGAACTTCATGCTGCAACACTCGATAGCACTGTGACACTAATTTGATAAACAGTTTCCATTTCGCCTGACATCATTTCGAACTTGACTTACCTTAAGCGCCATTTAGCTTTTCAGTGTTATATTTGCTTTGAACTATAGCTTCAAATGGTGAACAAGAAACGGAAACACAATTCTTTCTAAGACAAATCCACTAATAAAGTTAGCTTAAGATAAGGAGGCAATTAAGAAGGTCAAATGTTTCTCCATTTTTTGCCCTGTTAACGAATCCTTCACTCTGACGGAGGGATAACGCTCAAAACATCATCAAATCAACAAACAGAGGCCGATGTAAGCGATGATAACAAGTCACAGATCACTTTGTTAAGAACATGATTTCACCATTTCATACCATTAATTTTCCGAAAACTCTAACCACGTCCAATACCGCAGAAGTCTCCGATGCTGTGTGAGGTCCAAGTAGGAGTAATGGGTGCCTACTATTCTCAAATCCGAAAAGATAGGTGGTGGTAACTATAGCAATGCCCTCACTTCCCTGTCGGAAAACATACAAACAACCAGGCTTGAGATAATCTTATGAGGAATGCGCCAATTACATGTATGCTTCCTAAACATCAACGAAAAATTCCAAGTCTGCGTAATCTGGGCAGAGATCATCGAAGAGATAGCTGCCAAGCTCTGTGTAAATCTTTTCAGTGATCTCCAATTTTGGTTACGTACTGACCATTTTACACTGAGAGAAAAGTGCTGGGCGCGTGATGCGATCTTTCTCTCCCCCTTCTGTTTCGCTCAACGCCGCACAACGGACCGGAGAACACGAATGAACGAGTTAGTCAACAACCAGTGAGAGACAGGAAGAACTATGCGAAAACCAAATCAGGTCGGAAGAAAGCTTAAGCTTGATTTTATCAAATTGAATTGCATGAAGGTGCGAATTTTGAAGTGACATGAGATGAGAGAGCAGTACTTACTGGCAGGATGAAAAATCTCCAGGCTTCTTAGGGAACTGGTATCAGGTGTAAAACATTTAATTACAAAGATTCATCGACTGTTTCACCTCGAGTAAAATTTCAAATTAGTCAGTTTTACTGAAGCTGAAAAATTAGTGCGAGTTGACTTACATATGTTGAAGAAGTAGTGATCTTCACTTCATATTTGTCGTAGAAATCTTTAAATCCGGAGGTGTTTTTGGCCAAGTCAATTGCAAGCTGTATCCCAAAGTTACTTCCCTTGTCTTTATATGCAGATCTGTTTAGTACCGCGATTGAAAGCTCGGTCTTGTTGTCAGCGGCTTCTATTGGTGCGACGACCATCAGAATCAACAATATAGAAATTGTCATTTTTTCGTTCACCGCCACTTCTACGAGTTTGAGACAGAAAATGCGAGCTTGAACATTTTAGAACAATAGTAAACAACAATGTTAACAGCGTACAGCAACAAATTTTCTATTTTTTCCGAATTTTAGAGATAAAAAACGTCATCGAACCCATTTTATTTATTTTTTAGACTTTCAAAGGATTAGATAGCTATATAGACAACAGACAGGTTACAGTTTAATTAAAGATTCCCTTATTCCATCTGACCTGCAAAGAGGCACCTGGAATGAAATGAAATCCCTGGCGGTAGTTCTTAGTTATCTCAAAGGTTGCATGCGGAGATATCTTATACTACTAATATAAACATAAATTCTAACAACAGGTTTGTTGATATCCAAGTCCTTTTCAATTTTGGCAGCTCTAGGTGGAATCGGCTGAAATTCTAGGCTATTTCAAATTTCCTCAGTTTAGTTTCTCATCTACATCTTTTACATTTGTTGTTTTCCTTTTCTTTTTCTTTTTTTCTGTTTTGTTTTTGTTTTTTTTTTTGTCAAGAAGAGAAATCTTGCTAAAAATTAGGTTTTCTCCTGCGTGTCGACCTTTTAAAGTTGCGATATGGACGAAAACGGAAGGAAGGTTTGTTGGTATACTGAAAAATAAAATAATTCTGTGGAGCTTGGCCAATGATTGTACATAGCGATCCTTTTTTTTGTTTCGAACAACTGTTTTGTGCTGATATTGCCAGAAATTTCTAAAAAAAAACTAAGTTCTACGTAACAGCAAATCCAAATAAATCCAAATTTTTTCTCTTTGAAATTTAAAATCCTTGTAAGAATGAAATCTACGTGTTGGCAGATGGCTGTAAGCGTTGTATGCGGAGTAAACTATCTTTTGCTATTATCATCCTTTTGAATCAGCTGTCTATAAGAAATTCACGAAAATACTGACCTACCTTTAATTTTTGCTCCCAACCTTTTTCAGTAGCACAGCTCTTCGTCTAAAGAAATCGACCATGAGATTTGTAAATCTTCACAAATAAAAGACGCGTCCAGCTTGAACACCAACCGAATATAACTCGTCGTAATAAAACCCAATTTCTTTTACGTAGACTTAAGTGTTCGCGCTCTTTAACGATTTGAACCTGTAATTTGACGACCATCTGATAAGCAGGATTCAATCTTATAGAAGTATCGGGACTATTACCTTTGATCTCAAGACAAGAAGCTGCTAATTGCAAGCACGCACGGCTAAGAGGCTCGTCGAGGTTAGAAAATCCAAATGGCCAGAGTCTATTGTAATGCAAAAAGAAGTAATTGTAACTAATCTCCGCTCATTATTGCAGTGACCTGAAGCAAAAGGTCTAACGAGAAATGTTTGCATCACGGACGATAATTTTTCACATTTCACACGAATTTTGAACTGGACGAGTAATTAAGGAAAAAAGTAAAAAACCAGATCTAACAATTAGTTAACGTGTGCTTCTGAAATGTAATCGACCGACGAAGTAGGGACTCGTGAACTTTCTGTTCCTTCTAGGTCGTGAAAAAATTAGCGAATAATTAATTTTCCCTAACCTCGAAATAGCTACAAAAATAACACCCACAGCCTTAACCTCTCATGAATAAAAGTGTTAAACGTGAGAATGGGAAGAAAATAAAGATCTTAAACCTGAGCAGCCTCTATAACGTCTGCCAACAACCTGCGCTCTTTGACTTTAGCTAGAGGTGACATTTCATTGGAAACAAACGTCCCACCCGTAAATGTATACTTAGTGGGATAGCGTGCATAATTTTCATGCTATCTCAGTTTGAATTAAAAAGCTAATATTCCTTCCGTGATATCTTATAAAGAAACCTGCTCACAACAAAGGGGGGAGGTGTCAAAGGCACCCCAGGACACCCCTTCAGCTACGCCCCAAGGAACCTGATAGAAAAATAGTAATAATAAAAAAAAAGAAACGAAAGAAAGCGAATGCCAGCCATTGTAAACTTCTCAGATTCATTTAGCATGAAGGTAGCCTAGGTATTTTTTTCTGTAGCCCAAACTTACAACAAACCAATATTGCTTGGAAATGCGCATTATTATTTCAGTTATTGCATAAAAGTCTGCAGTTGCGCGAATCAAAAAAGGAAAAGTGGAAATGTTTTAGTGGAATCAAACGTTACTTTTTAACCTCTTGAACGCGGAGAGGAACTATATATCATCAGTGTTTAATCCACCTTAACTTAAGCACACGAACTCTAACAAAATTAAAATATGACCAATAAATTCCACCACTGATACCGTAAATGCTCGAATTAGCGCCCAGCTTCAAATAAGCGCCCCGCTTATTGAACATTCGTAATATCGTAAACTTATATCAAGGAATGTCTATGTTAAGGCTCACAATAGGTGTAAACCTACCTTACTTGCTGTGTATTGTCGTTTCTGTGGTTCTAAATGGCGAATTTGAGCAATTTGGTAGATTTTGCTGTGAGTATTACTTTACTGTATAAGAAGGAGACAAGGGTGGAAAGCTCATTTTCGACCGCTCCAGTGCGAAGCTGATTTTCACCCAGAAATTAGAATCGCCCGGCTTCTAAGTTAAGGCTCACAATAGGTGTAAACCTACCTTACTTGCTGTGTATTGTCGTTTCTGTGGTTCTAAATGGCGAATTTGAGCGATTTGGTAGATTTTGCTGTGAGTATTACTTTACTGTATAAGAAGGAGACAAGGGTGGAAAGGTCATTTTCGACCGCTCCAGTGCGAAGCTGATTTTCACCCAGAAATTAGAATCGCCCGGCTTCTAAATTAAACACCAAATAAACTAAAAGGTTGATGCTTCTTCTTGTGTCATTCAATGGAAGATCCATTCAAAATCCAAGCGCTAACCGCCACAAAACTTTCGAGAAATGCAGCTTTTCCAAGCGATCGGCATCCGCGGCACAGATTTCGTGTGCCAGGGAGCAACCGTCACGCTGTTTGCTCCACGCTGGTTAGATGATGGTAAACAATGCCCTGTTTCAAATGCCTCATGTGAGAGGGGAGTCAGGGGCATATTCGCGCCGGCGATTCATCAACTGACTAGCCTGGTGTGAGGACACGACAGACACCACTCCAGAGAGATCAGCAAAGTTACTCGTACTAGTGCGTATTCGTGCTCTAAAGAACGATGGGAGAACCTCTGCAAAGTCGACTATGTAATATAGAGAAGCAAGTATACTCATGTAATTTAACTCTGAATAAGTTATCTTTTTCGATCCGAAGTTAATTCCAAGGCAGAATGCTCCTTAGGTTTTTGGTCACCCAATCAACAAAATGCGTGATTTTATTTCTTTCATGTGTTCCTTGGAAGAGTTTCCAACGTGGCGAGGAAACATTTGCTCAAGGTAGATTTTACGTCATTTTACAGGTCATTCCTTCGAAAAGATACATACGTAGTTTGATGGAATTCAGAAAAATGGCGAAAAAACGGTTATTTTCACTAACATTTTTTTGTCACTGGAGAGATCACTATGTTTCTTACGTTTTTTCCTACAAAAGTTACATTTTATAGAAGAGGAAGAGTCGGTGGAAGAGCAAACATTGCTTAGACTGATTTCCTTAGACGTAATATCTTTGAAGCCGCGCAAAGCGAGCGAAAGTGCTCAATTTCGACCTGTTATGACCCGATCCATCAATTTCATAGGGTTAAAGCAAAAAGTTGGTTTTTCTTGAAATAAAAGCATATTAGAGGGAAAGTAATACGCTGCGTTTCTTGTCTTAATAGGGGCCATTCTTGAGCAAAAAGAGACAATTTGAAATTTGGAACCATATGTTCTCTTAAACATATAAATCAGTACCTCAGAGCTCAGGAGGGTCAAGGAAATATAAGGTTGGACTTACCGTATTTCTTTATTTAGTGTATTTAATTTGTTTCGGTTTCATCAACGCCTATTTTAAGTAACCACAACGGCGAACCACACCTTAACAAAAAGGCCTCCGTTATCCAAAAAGTCATATACGAGTGCAGCTCTTTTCCATTTAAAATGGTTCATTATTTTCACGATAGCTTTGTTGAAGGTAAACTGGGTTGGAGCAAATGTGATTCCGTATGGATCTACTGTTTCCTTTATGTCGGCACTTGTTGTCAAATATGTTACCTTTCAGAGAGAAAGAAAACTTAGAAATTAAACAAGTTATCTCAGTTACGTCACTGAAGCCGCATATCCTAAAAAAGAAAAACAACTTTGTTCAGGAAATCGAGTTTTGACGATGTTTTGTGCTTTGAAACTCACCTAAATAGTTACTTGTATGAAATCTCTAAAAGTGCAGAAAAAAAAAATCTTCAAAATAACTGTGCTATTTTTCCGGCAGAATAAGAAGCCATGTATCATCCATATCCAAAACATGCGACTACGGTAGCTCAGTGGCTTAGCTAAACAGCTAAGCAATTAATCATGTAAGAAATCATACCCTACTTCTTTTAATCGTTATGCGTTTCTGTGAATCAATGAAATGCTTTGAGGTTCAAAGCCAAACAAGCTATTTCCTCTAATTTTTAAGCTGCTTTCATGCTCAAACACATCCTCAGTGATGTATTACCAGTTCCATAGTTTACATAATATTGAAAAGAGCAGTAACGAAAAGACTAGAAGCAAAAATGATGTCCTTTACCCAGCGTTAACGAAATTACTGTAATCGACTTTGAAACTAGATCTCTCACACCATTTTCTGATGAACTGTTTACGAAAAAAGACCATCGTACTTTTTTCCTCACCATTAATTTTCTATAAAATCGTACAGTCTTGAGAACTGAAGATGCCTCAGAAGACGTTTGAGGTCCGAGTACCAGCAATGCGTATCCCCCCCGGGATATCTCCTAATACATACGTAGAGATAAAGATGGCATTGGTTTCCTTTCCCTGTCAAGGAAATGAAGAGTCAGTTTCAGGGCTTATTTTTCCGCTCATAGCGGTCATCGTTTGTCACCAAAAGATGTGACATTGATTAGGCCGGTAAGTCAAGTTCAAGTATTCAAGGTGATCTATGAACATGTTTTCCGTAGGCCAATCCCATGTCAATTTTACTTTCGCATCGGTATTTCACGTTAGTTAATTTTAATGGGGATTAATAACATGTTCAGGTCTACAGCCTCGACGTAGTATTGAATGTTGACCACCTTCCTGTCTAAAGTGTCGAAGATCAAAAATTCATTTGACCCTGACCTGATGATTCTCGTTCATAACAAAAGTTGAGCAGCCTCAGCAAGTAGCTTAAAAACTGAGATTGACAATGTATGACCTACCTTTGTGTAATAAGTCTCGACATTGATTTTGTACTTGTCAAGGAAATCTCTGAATTCCGAGGAGTTTTCAGCTGCTTCAATGGCAAGCTCTATTCCAAGTTCAATATGGTCATAACTGGCTCTAGGCAATAGAGATGCAATAAACAGCTCTGTCCTATTGGCGTTGCAATTCAATGACACCACAGCCAGTAGCATAACCAAGGTGAAAAAGGCCACTTTACTCTTCATCTCGGTTTAGAATGAAAAAAAAAAGAGAATAAATGAGAATATTAGTCCCTGTTTAGATCGTTTCCACTATCTTAATTATGAGCTCGAGATTTCTAACTAGTGACAACTGGAGAGGGCAAAGCCCGAATCAGCTATCTCCGATAGAAATCGAGCGCAAAACACCTTAACAACACGCTTGCTATTTTTTTGTTCAATTTTGTGAAAAAAAGGCAGTTTGCCAGGCTTCTCATGCTGCTCACCAACTATCACGAAATACTGATGTAGCAATTACTAAGTTGCAAGTTTACTCACGAGGATCAATTGTTTACCCAGTTGTTAAAAAATTCTTATTGATACCGCTTGACAGGTGGTTCTACTGACCACTATTCTTTCATTCAAGGAACCTCTTAACTGAAATGACTCGTATCGCTCTTTGCCTTCTTTAAAAGTATTTTTTTTAGTTGAGAATGGACATCTAGTTATGACAAAAGAGAAGGAAACTGGAATAAAAAAGGCCATCTAGTTGGTATCTTGTCAGGTAACGAAATATTACTATAACTGAGATCTCTATACAAACTATTTCGTGCTGAATTCTAAAAGCTCTTTTCGTTTTCGCTACAACCGCTTTGTAATTTAAAGAACCAACTCGGCGTGGTTCTGGATCGAAGCAGGATCGAATCAGGAATGAGATTAAATTGAATCCGCGGGAGATTTACCGCACGGGAGATGAGGCCGCGAGAGATTTACCGTACGGAAAATAAAACCGCGGGAGATTTACTGTCAGGGAGATAAAACTGCGAGAGATTCAATAACCTGATGCTTTTGTTTGCTTTTACTACAACTTGCTCAAAACACCTACAAAAGACGTTGAAAAGTATTTCACGAAGAAGACGGGAATAAGGTTTAACCGTAAGCCGTCAAAGGGCCTAAAATATTACCTTTAACCGTCAAAAGGATAGATTTTTTACCGTCAGCAATAAAAAATACTGCTCTTTAAAAGCTACTTCAGTCTCTTTATGTACAATTATGGAGGATGAAACTAAATTTACTAATTACGATCTTTTACCTCAAAGCCTCTCATATGTGTTGTATGTATCAGTTCAAAAATGGAGCTTACTGGATTGGCTGGCATTCAACTGTAAAATGCGCACAAAATAATGATACTCACGTTTGCCTTTTAAACATCTTGTAATTAATGGCCAACCTAATTAATTCACAAAACTTGCTTTAACAGACCAATCTTCACCAAATAATTTTACGTCATAGTTTATTTGCGCACATCAACAGCTATCTGTTCCACTAGCTAGGCTTCGTCAAATAAGGCAAAGTTCAGTGTGCTGTTCATGAACGTCTTTGCAAAGAAACTGGAGCCAGCTAAATCAGAGTTAATGTTCTTGCTCTAAAATTTCTTCCCTTTGCGGTCGATATTGAGCAGCTTTCGTGAAAAATTTATCAACGAGCAGGTGTTCGGAGCCATTTGGAGTAAAGGAAAATAAAAGCATCATGTTATCAAAAGCCTCTTTTGTCTCTGGATACACAAGTATATGTAGGCAAAAAATGTGCTAATTACGAATGTTTTACCTCAGAGCCTCGAATACGTTCGTATGTATCATTCCAAAATTGAACTAACTGGACCGGCTCGCATTCAACAACAAAATTCACACAAAACTAACGATCGTGACAAAAGTTTTTTACAACATCGTCATTATGGGCCACCAATAGTCGACGTATAATCGACGTTTGAAATAAAAGCTGTAGAAGAACAACCAGTCTAGTAGGACGTCGCTTTACAAACGGCAGACTCTAGAAAGGGAGCAATTCAACCAGAGTTAATAGAGTGAACAACAAATAGCAAAGTTGTTTACAACAATATTAAAAGAACCTAGTTCTAATGTTTAGTTCCAAACAATGTGACAATGCCAAATTAAAACTTTCTCGTGTGAATGTGGAACTTCTTGTAAATACAATCATAGCTTGTTTGAATGGAATTTGGAGGATTATGGAAAACTACTTATGAATTATTTAATTCTAAAAACATGTTATCCCGATAATCACTGTTTGATTGTGAAAAAGTGGTCTGATATTTAATACTGGCATTTGTCGATGGTGTGCCAATGTTCTTCTCAATTTCACATTAAAAAAACACTCCCTATGCTTTCTGTCATCTTACATTTGTAGGATTGCAGAAGCAAGGCTACAACCTAATTGGCAGTGTGTAGTTGCAGAAAATGTCCATACTCCGCTTAAAGAAAGGGTTGAAAATTCTTGGGGATGGGGGGATCTCAAAGGCCAAAAACTTCAAGAAAATGTATGAACCTTAATTGCAATTTCCAGAGTGCTGGGAGGGGGTCTTAAGAAAAATCCCTTCTGTGGGGGAGGTATGAATAATATTAAGAGAAGTATATATGGCAAAAAAATTCAAACCTCCCAAACGAGGTTTCTAGTTTTAGTCACACAAACTTGACTTTTTTGTTGACCCTGACAAACCTAGAATTCCAATGAAATTTCTGACAAGCAATCTGAAATTCTTTTCCGCTTAAATACAGTAGCATAGCCAGACTCTGGAATTCCAGTCATGTGCATCCTCAAAGGGGACTCACCCTGCAATTGTAGTTGTCTTCAACAGGGTGGTGCATTTTTTTAACAATTGCTCTGTTCAGCCGAGTGACTAGCAAGACACAGGTCAGGAAAATTAATTATAAAGGGAAAAAAATTCTTCTTCTTTTGTCAGGATATCCTCGGGTTTGAAGTGTTTCTCGCAAGCGTGTACTTTGTTGTTTTTTATCTGCTCCCCGAAATCCTGGTCGATTTTGCGTGCTTTTATTACTTCTCCGAGCCAGTTGTTGCGCCATTTTCGATGAGCTTCGTCTTTCGCGACAGGCAGCTTAAAAATTCCTCTTCCCTTCGATAGTCTGCACGATCCGCAGCCAAGGACGGAGCAGTTGACCCCTGGCATCACTTATGAATCCTCTTAAGATAATATTTCAGTTAGATTATTTCTAGATCATCCGTACAAAAAGAATAAACTCGAAGCAAGCCTACACGCTGGTCGCCATCTTCACACCTTCGCGGTCACGTGACATGCCATAAACCAACACAAAGAGTTTCATCGTTTGAAGTCCGCCGGCATTCATAACCAGTTCCCTCTATTAACTCTGATTCAACTATGCACACTTAGCCTGACGGAAGTCAAATAACTTATTGTAATAGGCCTAGGCCTTGAGTCCAATTCGGTCTTTAATCATAAAAGTGCCAGGGGTCTAACAGGATATTTGGGTTTCTTTTATAACGTACGGACCGAACGCAGCCAGGTCCGTGCGTCATAAGTGAGAGCCAAATATTTTCCCGTCCCCTCCCCCCACGACAACAAAAGGTTTAGAGTATGGTTTTAAAATTTCAAACGACAAGATATCTAAATATCATTTTCTAAATCCTCACTTATTACGTGATTTATGTTAAATCGATATGGAAGCACACACCCCCCACTCCCGTTGATTACCCTGTCACAACGGAAGACATCCTATCCCACAGTTTTCAAGTCATTATCAGATATGGATTCGTCAAGTCTTGTCTCGTTAATGACCAGAATATCGGCAATGTATTGGTAAACTAATAATAGAAGAAGTTCTTCTAATTGTTTGAGGAAAGTAGTAATGTCATGGCCAGCAATTTTAAACCCACGATCCCTGAAAATCGGAGAAAAGAGTACTGGAGATCTCCTGGCAGTAGATGGTGGCGTCATTATAACTAATAAATGTGTAACGGTGCACAATTGGACAATATGATGAGCCATACATGGTGAGCTAGGTTCAGTATGCTGTTTATTAGACGCATGCACGTATATTCTTAATTCTTTTTAATTACACTAGAGCCGGCCAAATGAACTTTAAAAATCCAAAATTTCTTCCCCTAACAGTTAAAAAAATAAGTGAAGCATGCTCGAAAAAAAAAAACACATGAGAATAAAAGACAATAACTTTTTCTCCTCGGGTAAGTTGCTAGACTAACCGGGTAAGTCGCTGTAAAAATGTGGTGATTTAAAATTCTAATTTAAGAGGAAGTCACTTTTCGAATGGGACTCTTTAACTCCCAAGATCTGATTGCAAATTCTCCCCATTAGAAATTTCATATTTCCTCGTAAACTAGTTATGAGGATTTAGTGTGAGATTAAGATAAGAAGTTCTACCTCGTGAGCTTGAGTATTCTCATTACCTGTTTGCTGGATTGTAACGATGTTTCAGAAATTTAGGGGACAATTTAGAACATTGAATTACCGCATCACTATCTTAAGCAGCTCTGCTAGAAACTTCTCCACATTCCGGAACATCCTATCGAATTATTTCAGGGATAACACATCATCAGCGTCTAAGACGTTCTTACTGCTAAGAATAGTGTTTTAGAAATAGGTATAATTGTAATTGACTGCTATAAATAAGGCTCGAGATCGTAAGATTTAGTAAGGTTTTAAGAAATTTAAGATAAATAATAAAGTGTTTAAGTAGAAAAAAGGAATCTTCTCTTGGCTTCGTGACATGTATAATGTTTTGATTTTATGGTGAGAAATTACATGTTAATCTCTTCTGAGAGTTAAGGGTTAAATGGGATTAGATTCTGTCAACAAATGGAGTTCAATGTTTTCAATGTTACTGGAAACGACAAACACCGTTACTCGACCCAAAGTTTACAGAACCCTTGATGATCGGCATCGTGGGGGGATCTAAGTCTAACGAGGGTCACTCCCGCTCCGAAAGTAGGGAAAGTTGGAGCCTGAAGCTGTGAGGATAATCCAAAGTCGCCAACTGACAGGCTTGACACTAAATTAAACACTGAGTGGTTTACCGTTGATTTAGTACTGCCTTCCGTCATGATTTTTGTGTAGGGTTAAAAAAAAGTATAGCAGCAGATTAAGAACTACTTTACCGCACTGACTTTCCAAATAAACTGTTTAAATTCTTCCCTGTCGTTAAACTTGACAGGAAGATGGAATGATCGCAATTAACAATTACTCCACGAGCGCGCGTTGGATATGAGAAGATAAATAGCCAACGAGGCGCGTAGCGCCGAGTTGGCTATAATGACCTCATATC